AATCCTGAACAGCCACACACGGAACAACTTAATCACGGCAGCAGCCACACAGCAAAATAAAAAAAAAGTAGCAATCACAGGTAAAGAATTTGACGCAGGCCACCTCATCACACAATTTAGACACTGTTTTCCTCTGCCTGATAAAACAAGTGACTGGGAAACCAATACTGAGAAGAGTCAAATAAATAAATAAAAAAAACTACAGTTCAACGGTGAGATGATGCTCTTGTTCATGATGTTCCCATGCACTACTTTTAAGCAAACACTTACAGCAATTGCTGTAATTACACTGCAGGATTATATACCATGCAAATATATTAAAAGGGCCACTGATAAACCAAAGAAATAAGAGAAGTTTCTTATTGCAGATCATAGAAAAACTGAGGTTGTTTCCCAATTCACTTGCAAAGGACAATTCATAAACAATCTTAGTTTTATATAGACAAGACATGTTAAAGTATCAGTCTTGCTACTGTGGATCATTTTATTTCCTTGCAAAAGTAAGTTTGCAAAAGCATGTTCACAACTACATTAGAGCACAAAGTATATTGTTCAAAACATAGACATGGGCAGGCTTACAGCGAGTTTGGAGAAATTTAGACTGGCTGCCTTTCTGGGCTGATTGTCTCATCCTTCATGCTTTATTCCTTTCTGATCTACTCACATTGCAAGTTTCATTTTGCTTTAAGTAGGTTTTAGATCAGCCTTAACGCTCAGATAGCTCTTGCCTTCAGTAAAAGATAAACTTCATTACCAGTATGGTTGCTATGATATCTGTGTAAAAGCATATATACATTATATACTCATCTACAGATCACCAAGATGTTTCATCTGATCCCAGTATTCTGTGGGATTTCTTTGTGCCTACATACAAAGGAGCAGTGGCATTTCTAAGTTAAAAGTTCATAGATGGGAAGGAGAGAGGCAAGTTGGAGAGGGGAATCTGCCATGGGTATTTCCACAAAGTATCTGCAAGTGGAATTATTATAAGCAAGAACTTTGATCTTCATCAAATTTTTCATTTACAGTTTTCAAACACCTGCTCATCCAGCTGAAGAATGCACTAGAAATGTATCCCCTATATTAACTTCTGTGGGACAAAAATTACTTGGTGTCTTCAGTGCCACTTCCCATGCTCACCATTCATCCCTCTAAAGGAAGAAAGTATTGGTTTTTGTTGTTTTTTTTTTTTAAGATTGAATTAACAAATTAGTTTGTAAGATTTTGCATCGCAGGCAAAATACTGTCCTTCTCCATCTCCCACTGGAACAGAATGTTAACATAACTGCATAAAACTTGTTGTAGCAAAATTTTAAAATACAACTCTGCTTAAAGCAAGAAAAATATTTTGTCATTTACTTGACAAAGTCTCCAGTTCTGTGCACTGACAGATCCCTAAAGTGCAACTGCAGTATAAACTGCTGTAGCAAAGTGCATGTTTGCAGGGGAGGCAGAACTACACTAATTCCACATAATCACTTAATCAGGTACATGCTTACGTACTGCTCAGTTCTCAACTCATTTTAAGTTGTAAAATGGAGCAAATTTCTACCTGATACTACAAACAGCTGGGATAACATGCCTGCTGATCTAATTCAAAGTATTAGTGACTAATACCTGCATTCTTAGCTACTCACATCAGAGGCTGTCACAGTAACAGCCACTTTTTAAACTCTGGGTTAGGAACATGCCTGTGCTGCTGTTATTTCTGACCGGATGCTGAAAAGTACCTCCTAAGGTCGGTTCTCCAGAAATTGAGATAATGTTCTGAGAGAACACAGTGACATTTGAAGCACTCACCCTAATTTTATAGCAACTGAAGAGGAGCGGTTTGTTTAACCATGATCAGGCATAAGGAACTATTTACAACATAAATGAAAAAAACCCAACTGCACAGAGTTGTAGTTCTCCACTGCATTGTTTATGCAAAGTTTAATACAGAAATGAAGCTGAACCATAGAGCTGTCATCGCACAACTCAATGAACTCTAACAAATACCGTAAGAAAAAAGTCACTGGCTGCACGCCGGGGTCTATACTGTAGGCACACCACAGAATGTAAGTCAGTGACCCCCTTGATAGCAAAACAAACACATAGATTAATGTGTACTGCAAAGGAAGGGTGACTACATCAATAGGTTACTGATTCCAACCATTAACTTTATCTCAAAATACTTCATTTAACTTTTAAATAAGGTTTAGGAGAACTTGTAACATTTTGCTCACTGACACAGCTATATTTTATTAAGGACAAAAATGGGTTAGTCTATAAAAATTAAATTATACTCCTTTGACTGTATCTAGTCAAGAGGAAAAAACTCTAATTATGAGATTGTGCTGTCAAATAAATGCAAATTCGCATCTTTCATATTCTGGGTTAAAAATTCAAACTCAAGTCTATTATAAATTAAAATCAATATTTGAAACCTTTCAGCTTTCAGTGATAAGCAACAACCAAAAGAATCAAGTTCTGAATATACTGGTAGAAGTAGAATGAATTATTAAATAAAACTTGGGAGAATAAGGCATTTATATGACACACATTTAAATATCAATTAGGAAAAAAACCAATAAAGGATGATGAACCGAATCATCTTTTTTATAACCAATCCTCTCCAGAATTGACTGAGGATAACAAAGAAACTAAGCTTGCAATGTAAATTTCAATCAATTTGAAATAGTTAGGTTAAAAATTTAAATTTATTCACTAGTTGAAATTTACAATCTCTAAGCTTAAAGTGTGTAAGAACTGCATTTCCAGAAGTAAATGAAATAAAATAGAACAGTGATACCTGCTATGCACAGCGTGCTAGTTACCTCCTACAGGGAAAATCCAAGGATCTGCTCAGAGACAATACAAAATTGCACAGGAAAAAAGAAAAAACAAAACAAAACACAACCACCAGGAAGTTTCGTTTAAGAGCTCTTTATTTACTATATTGCAAACCAATTTTTTCATAGGAGTAAGGACGAGTTATGCATCAACGTATGCCTAAAATCTATTAGAACAGTTCCAATTTGCATTTTCAGTGTGCAACAGTCACACTGCCCAGGCTGCAATCTCGCCTGCTCGTCTGAGGAAAGATGCACGACCGACTACCCCACCCTACACATGCAGCACGCAAGGGGCTGTCGCTTGACATACCCGCGGTGTGTGCACGCACACGTGCACGCCCACTTATCCAGAAGAGTTGCACTTTCACCTGTGAGGGGTTTACTCGACTGAAAACACTTTTCCAACAGTCACCTGAACAGAAGATTACAGATATGTTTTGGGAAGATTGATACAGTCTGAGGTTGTACTGAAATGAAAACATGAAGGAACCAGGGAAGATATTTAAAAAAACCCAACAAACGAGCAACACCGAACAACTGTTAAGAACTGAATGACAACTGACTTTTTTTGTGTCTATATACTGTGTTGATAGCCTGTCAAATTGCCACAGTGTCCACTCAAACCTATTAAAAGTACTATAGAAGCTGTGGTGTGCAGACAGCAAAGCCTTCAAACATCCATTCAGAGGTACTCGGACTTCAGAAGTACCTTGCAAACCGTAATTATCTCCCATCCCCACCGCCCTTTCCAAGTAAACTTGGAATAAAATACTCCAATAATATATAGCTTGCAAAAGACTAATCTTCCTTTAAACATACAACTTTTTTCTCTGCTCTGGAGAGCTTCTAAATATTTTACAGAAATACTGTCACTGCGGATGGTGTTACCCAGGATGAAACAAAAGTGCCAGCAGTTCAGCTACAGTAACAACGATTCTCATCATTTTTCTCTGATTCCTAATGTAGTGACCTGAAACCACTGGCACAAGCAGAACTAGCCAACTGGTAGGTTTCCTAACGCAAAGAACCGATGTTACTGCTCAAGACGGATGGCTGCACACACTTGCTAGGTAGAGAGGGATTCTGCTGTTACTGAAGGACTTCCCGAGAAAGGACAGCTTGATTTATATTAACAGCATAACAACAGTCCTTTACATCAGTAAATTCCATGCTCTAAAGCATCGCCCTCAGTTGTAAGACGCACAATCTCAGAGAACGGCTTCCCCTTAAATCAGGGCTCTTAAGCCCCAACCCTTGCCCTTTTTAATGGCTTAACAGCTGTCTGCAGTAAGAGCAGGATGCTACACAAACTCCCAACTCCCTCAAACACATTTCCTTGCCACCCAACGCAGCCCTAAAGCCCCTAATAAAGCTGTAGTCTTCTACTTACATAGATGGCTACAAAGCAACAAGGTGGTCTAAAAACTGAGACAGTTCTCTCTAAATCTCAAATGCCTCCCATGATGCTGAATAAAAAAAGCAGTTTATAGCACAGCTCAAAAGACAATACAGGCGAGAAGCAGAATCACAGCTAACTTCCTCTTGAACGCATTTATTTCCAAATATTCCAACTTAACATTAACTACAGTAAGGAAAAAGCCCCTTTAGGCTTAGAAAATGAGTATGGCAAATACATATGCCCTCCTCTCCTCCCCAAACTCCCCAAACCGTTCTTTTTATCCCTCTCTCCCTTTTTGCTTGATGTTGTCTTTTATGGATGAAAGCAAAGATGACTACACTTTCCTCCCCTTAAGATGAACCTTCAGAGTAAATGAATTGCTTGAGTAAATAAAAGAAAGGAGGGAATTACTAATTTAATGCTCTTCCATCTCTTGGGGAAAAAGCCCATGTAATTAACTGTAATGAGATTAAACTAACTTGTTGTTATTAATTTCCCAGAGCTGGGAAACTAAATCTGAGACCCATAAGACTGTGTATTAACAGCTTTATCAACATTTGGCTTGCATCCTGCAGTTTTTACACCAGTTTTAAAGGAAGATGATTAACTTTATTAGTTGCAAAGTCACTCAGAAGTAGAAGAAATTGAATCTGGTCCCTTTAGGTAGGGATGCCCGATTAATCTGTAGCTGAAGACTGTGAATGGGTGGAGCTAAAAGCAACAAAGGCTATCCAACACAAACAGAAAGATAATTATTAAATTCTTACCAAAACTTTTTTCCATTACTTCTTTCTGACACATATCTTGAACATTCACTGTACAATTCACGATGAACTCTGGAGCAGAGCAGTCATTATTTAGTTGGAACTCCTCACACTGGTAGCACTGTATTTGCAAACCCAAACCTGGAACATAGAGAACTTCGCTCAGAATAATAATAGTAATAATATTAAGAAAAAAACCAAAACCAAACCTAACCCAAACAATCAACACGTGCCAGAAATCTTCCTTATCTTTCCCTCATCACGTTTTGCTGTTCCCAACTACTCAACAGCTCAGCAAAAGTACGACTTTGACAAAAATAACGTAAACGTGCCGCCCACTTGGCTGAGGCTGTAACTACTCAACAGCTCAGCAAAACTACGACTTTGACAAAAATAACGTAACGTAAACGTGCCGCCCACTTGGCTGAGGCTGCACCTTGTGTGCTCAGCACCTGGCTGAAGAAGCGGGCTCCTTTCCGCGGGGACCCCGGGGCGGACAGGCGGCTGTACGGCCGCTCCGGGCACCGCAGCCGCTGCCCCTCGCCCGCCCGGCCCCCGGGCTGCCCTCAGCGCGGCGGGCTAAAAGCTATCCGCGCTCCGGAGCGAGCAACCCGGCTAATAGATAACGCTTCGGCTCTTATCTGTGCCGACGCGTTTACTTAGCTACTAATTAATTACAAATTATTTAATTACTATTTTGCCATGCACAATTACAGCTGCGGAGCATCCTTCACCTCCCTCTTTTATCATGCA